TCCTTCCAAGGTATGTAAAATGAGAACCCAGATTGTTGGAGGGCAATAGGCTGAGTCTATACCATTTAGAAAGTGCTGTAAAAGTACTGTGAAGCTGTGTCTATTGCTATCTCCACAATCAGCAAGTCTGCTGGTCTGATGTTAGAACCATTTTCATGTTTCACTTGTGATTATTTTCTGAAGCAACTGAAACTACCCAGATTTTACTTGATAACAGTAAATACTTTTTGTTGCCTCTGCTATGCAGAGTTCCTTCCATATAATAACACTCAAAGTAAATTTGATAGAAAGCAGTTGAGGAAGATGTTATCTTAATCACCTGTTGATTCAGTAACCTAAATGAAAATAAGCGGTGACAACCTCTTCTAATATATATATTTCTTTAATCACGGTACCTCTAAAACGTTGATTATGATCCATGTACATTTTTAAATAATTACTTTTAGGAGACCAAAGGACCAAAAGCATTCTGCAGCCCAGTTTTCTTCAGTGCAATGGATGCATCTTGCGGTTGTAGCATGTGGCGACCGGCTGCTAGAAACTCTCAACATGCTGAAATCAGCAGTTCTTTTTAGCAACAAGAAGCTCAAATTTCATATTTTTGCTGAGGATTCCCTGAAGCCAGAATTTGAGAAGAAAGTGAGTCTCTTTCAGTGATTTCTTTGTTTAAAAACAACCGCTAAGCCTCAGATTTGTTTAAAAGGCTATAGATTCCCTTAGAAAGCTCTGTCAGCCGTGAGTTAATAGTGGCTGAACTTCTGCTCCTAAACTCTCAGTAAAGCTCAGCCTTAGTACATGATGTTAGTGGAAGATGTTTGAATAGCATTTCTGCTCCCATAAAGGCACCCTCCCTGTAATGCTAATTCTCCCTTTCCTTCTTGTGTTTTGCAGTTAGAGGAATGGCCTACCTCTTTCTCAAAGAAGTTTGAATACAATGTCTACCCAATCTCCTTCTCAGTTGGAAACGCTGAAGAGTGGAGAAAATTATTCAAGCCATGTGCTGCCCAACGCCTCTTTCTTCCGGTAAGGTACTCAAAATGTCATAGGTGAAGCTGAAAAGACATAAAGAGGCTTTATTGGTCTTAAAGTTAAAAACCTAAATGCAAAGTGGTATTACGGTCCTTATGCCCGCAGTTCCTTTATTGCCCTGTTGTATCTTTTCAGAACAAGGAAATCAAGATCGTTGTTCCATACGCTTGTTCAACTGAATACAGTACAATAACAAAGAGATGTAACACATAACATCTAACTTGTCTCAGCCAACAAGAAAAAGATAGGGATTGATTGGGTTCATGCTTCATAGGTTTTATTTCAAGATTTCTATTATGAGGTTAGGTCAGAAAGGTATCAAGTAGATGAAAATATCATTTACTGACTTTGTGGCTGATTGCAGTCTAAATTGAATTTCCGGTTTAGATAACCATTCTGAAGACCCAATGTTTCCTGGATATAGGTCCCCAATATCCATCATTCTCATGCCTACTGGGAAAGATGGAACTTATGAACTAACACATATTGGGATTATTGTAACCAAGGCATGAGACTGATGGATAGCCAGGGCCGCAGTAGAATGCATTGGAAAAGAAACTGATGCAGTGTGGACAATAAATGTTTATTGAACTGGTTCTGATTCTGGTTTAAATTACCTATGTTTAATTATGGTTTGGAGGGGACGCGGTGGCTCAGTGGCTAAGACACTGAGCTTGTCGATCAGAAAGCTTGGCAGTTTGGCGGTTTGAATCCCTAGTGCTGCATAATGGAGTGAGCTCCCATTACTTGTCCCAGCTTCTGCCAACCTAACAGTTCGAAAGCATGTAAAAATGCAAGTAGAAAAATAGGGACCACTTGGTGGTAAGGTAACAGCGTTCCGTGCACCTTTGGCATTTAATCATGCCGACCACCTGACCACGGTCTTTGAGAATTCACTGGCATAGCTTGCATGTCTTTGGACAGCGCTGGCTCTTCGGCTTTGAGACGGAGATGAGCACCCCCCTCCCTAGGGTCAGGAACAACTAGCACATATGTGCAAGGGGAACCTTTACCGTTACCTAATTATGGCTGGAAGATTGTATTGTAAGTAGCACCCAATTAGAGAAGGGCCTTGGTAATAGTTGGGATTGTGGGAAAGAGAAATTTAGCTTACTCCTCCAGAGCTTCATGTCTGAAGACAATCCATTCTCTGCAGATGCTGCTGCTTCTTGGGCAAATTCTCCAGAGATGCTAGTGGGGGATTTCCTCTGTGCATATATCAGACTGCAAGAAAGATTTTCCCATCAATTCTCAGCAGGAGGAAATTAATTCACCTCTGTGCTTTCTGCTATTCTGGTAATTACCAACTCCATCCATTGAAACTAGCAGCATTTATAATCAATGAAGCACATAGTGTCTTCTTTGGGGCATTCTTTGGCTTTTTCAATTATCCAGGGTGTATCAGCAATAATGACTTATATTTCTCGGCCTTTTCTAAACACAGCTTGAACATCTGGTGTCTCTTTTTCCATGCAGAGCTATAATCTGCATTGGATGATCCCAAGTATTATTTTGCTAGCGTGTCAGATTACGGATATTGCATGATAGTTTAGTGGTACACTCTATTAAATCTCTCTCTCTCTCTCTCTCTCTCTCTCTCTCTCTCTCTCTCTCTCTCTCTCTCTCTCTC